TTCTCTTTATTCTGTACACTGGTTTCATCTGCTCACTCTTATCTCTTTCAGTTGTTATTATTTTTCTTGAACTTTAAAATCTCATCTTTAAATTCTAATTTCAGAGGAGCCATACCTCACCACTACTCCACCCCATCTCCTCCCACTGGAACTACTTGATCACAATTTTCACCTACTCTGCTGTTTTTGAAAAAATTTCCCCCCCAGTCCTGGGGATGGAACTGAAGGCCAAGCAAGTCAAGCATGCCAAGCAGGTTCTTACCACTGAGTTGCGTCCCCAGCCCCTGGTTTTTTGAAAATTTTTATCACTGTTCTCTGGAGGTTCTAACTCCTTGCTGGACTACTTTCCCAAGCCCATAAGTACCCACTTGCCATAGATTTGGAAGGGATGATTCTTTAGTCTTGATTCCTTTTTAGTTGATAAACATGAGCAGCTGTTGAGTTTCCTTGCTAACAATTTCTGCCTCAATTTTTTTGGGGGAACAGGGAGGAGCATTACTAGGGATTGAACCCAGGGACACTACCTCTGAGCTATATCCCCACCCCTTTTTTTGAGAGAAGGTCTTGCTAAATTGCCTGTGCTGGCTTGGAACTTGCAGTTCTCCTGCCTTAGCCTCTCGAAACCCTGGCATTCTGGGTTTGTGCCTTTATGCTCCATCCATTTTGAACTTGCAAAAATGGTAGGACTGCAGTTTATAATTCTGCCCCACCTCCTGGGCCACTTGGGGAGCCCAATACATGCCCTACTTTGTCATTCCAAGGAAGAAGTTATTGCCCTCAGGGTGTGTCACCTACTTGGGAGAAAGCTGCTCCCCTCACCAATCTGATTCTAAAGAGGAAATCATTCTTTCTTAGTATCTTGTCTTAATTTTCTCTGTACCTAAGGACATCTAATTTTCACATATTCTGATTATGAGCTTATGGTAGTTATTCCAGATTTGAGTTTCTTTTCTCTAATTCTATTTCTATTATTTTGTGGTTGGTTTAGAGAGGAAAAAGAGATGTAAGTACTGTACCATCATTAACCAGATGTATCTACATTGTAAAACATAACATAATAAAATCAAAATCATAAACCTTACAAACTTTCTCATAATTCTGAATTCTTTTTTAAATTAAAGAACTTGCTAAATTCGTGTCATTTTCCCTTTAAAGGCGAAAAGTATTTACTTATTAAACACTTAGGAAAAGTTTTTCATTTTCTCAATAGTTGTGAATGCCATAATGCAAGACATACTTTTTGTCCTTAGAAAATCATAATCTATAAAATGAGACATTAAAAAGAAAGGGAGTGAAAGAAAGTCCTTGGAAAACTTGACCCAGTTGCTACACTCCTCGGCACATACCCGAAGACTTAAAGCCAGCAAAAAAATAAATAAATAAAATAAAATAAAATAAAATATATATATATGGCCATATCAATGTTTATAGCAGCTCAATTCCAATAGTTAGTGCCCTTCAACAACAGATAAAGAAAATGTGGTATGTATACACAACAGAATATTACTCAGCCATAAAAAAGAATGAAATTATGCCATTTGCCAGTAAATGGATGGAAGTGGAGACTATCATGCTACATGAAATAAGACAATCCCAAAAGACTAAAGGCCGAAAGGGAAGGGAGGGAGGATAGGAAAAGAAAATAGAATAGAATGAATCGAACATAACTTCTATGTTCATATAGGACTACACAACCAATGAAACTCCACATCGTGTAAAACCACAAGAAGGTATACTTCATATATGAATAATACATCAAAATACATTCTACTGTCATGTATACCTAAAAAGAACACATTTTTTACAAGAAAAAAAAAGAAAGAAAGGGAGCAGATAATTGGGGAACCTTTATTCAGAGCTCTAGACACCTCAGGTTCCTCTACTCTCACCAAGCTTATAAACAGAATGTTCCATCTGCCCATATAAATGGTCCTCTTCCCTCTTTATCTTCTACTTAGTGCTCCCTCCTATGGTCAACCCTGGTATAATCCTTAAGAAGACAGACCCCACAAAGCTCAACCAGAAACATGAGTTAGTTACATGTTCTTCTGAGGTCTATTTCCCCGTTTCTACATTCATCAAGTCCTACTTTGCCTGTTGACTTCTGTCCTAGAAAATAAACTCCTAAAAAAACCAACAGTTTTCTGTGCATCATTATATTCCTCGGTCTACCCTGGTACCCAGAAGTTAGTAGATGTTCAATAAGTACATGCTGAATGAAGAGATTTTGTAAAAGTAATTCTTAATTCCAGATTATGTATTCAAAGTTCACAACATTCACCCACTTATCATTAAATAATTCTTAAAAACCAGTAAATTGAGCCAGAAGCAATGGTGCCTGCCTGTAGTTCCAGTGACTCAGGAGGCTGAGGCAGGAGGATCACAAGTTGGGAGGTAGCCTTAGCAACTTAGCAAGATCCTATCTCAAAATAAAACGAATGGAAAAGCCTTTCTACTGTCATGTATAACTGATTAGAACTCATACATTTTTTTTAAAAAGTAAAAAATAAGTGAATAAATAATACAAAGGGCTGGGGATGTGGCTCTGTGATGAAGCACACCTGGGTTCAATGCCCAGAACCAAAAACAAAAATCAAAAAACCTCTACTAAATTGGTACTTTTGTCTACAGAATTATTTCTAGGAGCCAGTCAGATATCATGACAAAGTCAGTATACACTAAAAGTTATAAAATGTTTTTAATATTGCAGAATGTGTATGAAGTAACATGTTTCATCAAATAGATGTCATATAATTTGCTACTCAATATTTATTCAAAAAGTAATGTTGAAAATGTAAAAACTCATTAAAAGTCTACCTATTCAACTCCTTTCCAACTCTAAGAATTCATTAGTCCATTCAACTGCCCTCTTTTAGTATTTACCCACAAAATGTGAAAGTTTTCACTAATCACCCCAACCTTCCTTTTTTTTCTTGGTACTGGAAATTAAACTCAGAATGCTGTGCAACTGAGCTATATCCCCAGCCCTTTTTATTTTGAGACAGGGTCTTGCTAAGTTGCCCAGATTGGCCTTAAAAGTTGGGATCCTCCTGCCTCAGCCTCCAGAGTCACTGGAATTACAGGCAAGTGTCACTGTGCCTAGTTTACCTATACTTCTATGCCACTCATAAACATATTTAAAGCTGGACACCGCAGCGCATACTTGTAATCCCAGTGGCTCTGGGAGGATGAGACAGGAGAATTTAAAGCCAGCCTCAGCAAAAGCAAGGCGCTAAGCAACTCAGTGAGACCCTATCTCTAAATAAAATACAAAATAGGGCTGGGGATGTGGCTCAGGGGTTGAGTGCCTCTGAGTTCAATCCTCAGTACCAAATAAAAAAAAAAAAAAACTTAAAAATATATATATTTAATTTCAACATCTTATAAACAATTTCTCCTTAATTTTTACATGTAGCTGTGATTAATTTTTCCTCATTTCTTTTGATGTCCGATAAAATGGCCATTTTATAGCATTCTTTGTATCTTCCTTTTGAATAGTCAACTGTCCAGCCTGCACAGCTGGAGTTCACAATCACCTCACTCCTTGATACTCACTATAATAAACAAAGGAAACAAAAAATAAATAAGGTCCACATAATCAAACATGTATAGGTCCTAAGATTTAAATACTATCACATTTTCTGGGCTCAGTGGTAGAGTGCTTGCCTAGCTGTGGGAGACTGGTTGGATCTCCAACACTGCAAAAAACAAAAAATAAAAAGAGGGATAAAACAGCTTTAACTTTTAACACATGATGATAATCACTTAAAATAGGAAGAAAATCTTAACCAGACAAAATTTATTAACAGCTTTAGCAGCTATCACCTTCAGCTGTGGAGACAACTAGCTTAGAATTTAAAAGACCTATGTTCCCTTAAAAAGAAAATGCAGGTAAGTAAGAACTTTAAAGCAACAGCAACATATACATTCATCTATTACCAAAATGCAGAAATGACTATTACTGAAAATAGATGAGATTCAGGTCTCAGAAAGAATATTCCACAGCAAATACATCCACGTACACTAGAATTCAGAAACAGTAAATATGTTAAGATGAAGAATCTTTCTCCAAAAAATCCTTCTTGATACTATATATTGAGTTTAATTGTAAAATAAAACAGTTCATTTTCATAGTTTCTTTCTTCTTGCAGATACAGAGAAAAAGATATTAGCAGGGAGAGAGGAAGATAAGCTTTCAGCACAAGCAGCCAATGGCTTTTTCAGTCTTCCAATAACAACCACAAAACAATTTGACAAAACGTGAACATTATTCTCTTTGGGACTACTGCTGGGTCACCGCCATGCGGACTCCCTGTGTGTCATTATTGTTCTTTTGAGTCTCCTGTTTCAGAAGCATGTTCATTTCACTGCCACAGCATTTATCTCTAGTTGCCACCTATAATTTTATATTCTACCACCTTTTAAGGAGCATTAACCTAAAAACATATCTTACGATTTTTTTCAAACTAACATGAATCAAAATCCTGAGATGTTAACTTCCCAAAATATTTAATGAAGATGGAAAGGCTATTTACTTATCCCCAAAGGAGTAGCTATTGTTAAAATCACATTTAGAGTCTCATACTTAAAAGTCTTAAGGTTTTTCCTTCATGTTAAGACTTTTTAAATTGAGTTTCAATTCAACTTGACAGAACACAAAATGTAACTGTAGCTAAACAGACAACTATATTTAAAAAAAAAAACAAACAAACAAACAAAAAAAAACGAACATTCTCATGTCAATGTGAAAAGGAGTAAAATTTGACTGAGGAATGATGAAAACCTACCAGCTCATGTGACTAAAAGAGGAAAAAAGAAATCAGTGAGAAAACTGCCTACTGCCCAAAACTTAAAGCAATAATCAGTATAATTAAAGTTTAAATTAGAATTACTTAAAAATAAATGTTTGCCAGATGTCTATGTGCCAAAGACTGTTCTTGCATTGTACATATAAGCTTGCATTATGAATTTAAAATTAAAATAATTTCAATAGCCTTTACCTGATTTATTAGAAAGGTAAGGATAGTTTATGCAGCAGTAGAGATCACTCATTGGCTCTGGTAGGAATCAGTGATGGGGCTCAAATCTGGTAAATTCTCTCATCTGAAAAGGAAGATTATAATTGTATATACCTCATTCAGTTGCTCAGAATTAAATTAGGTACTTCACAAACTGTGCTTAGCATGGTACCCAGTACATAGTAATCACTTAGTGTTAACTACTATTAGAAGCAGTAAGTAGAAACTTATTAGTATTATCATTTTAATCTAGAATCTGCAGGACTAAAATGCCCTCTCCAGCTGCTAGTGGTTTTCTGAATAGTAGTGTATAATTCTCCACTAATTCAGGCCCTCCCACCGTATTTGGGCTAGACTTACAGAATCCACCAAGAGTTCTTTCCTATATTCCATATTAGAAATCTAATATAAAAATATTTTCTATGTCTCAAAATTAAAAAATAAAAATAATAAGGGCTAAGAATGTAGCTCAGTGACAGAAAGATTGCCTAGCATGGACAGGTCCTGGTTCAATTCTCACTACTGCAAAAAATTAAAAATATTCTCTATAGAGTCTTTTTAATATTTATTTATTTACTTTAGTTTTAGGTAGACACAATATCTTCATTTTATTTTTATGTGGTGCTGAGGATTGAACCCAGTGCCTCACACATACTAGGCGAGTGCTCTTCCTCTGAATCACAACCACAGCCCCTCTATAGAGTCTTTACATACTAATAATTTTGTGATGGGAAATACTAGCAGAATGAGCAGGGTTTGATTTGGTTAAACATGTATTAGCTCTCGTCAATAATCCTTTACAACAAATGTTTTCTGAGTTCTACTATTGTCATAGTCACTATTGTTGCAGAAACCCCACAAGAGGGACAAGAAAGAAGAAAAACTAAGTTGTAGCTATACTCTTCAAAGTTCTTTTGTTCTAAGAATCTGAACCGAATGGCCTCTTTGTTACTAAATTCCACATACACTTTTCCATCTCTGGCTTATGTGACCTCTCTACAGCATGACACTGTTGGCCACTTTCTCTTTCTTGAAAAATCTCTCCTTCCTGACTGCTCAGTCAGTGGCTTCCTTTCTCTGGGCCCCACACTTATAGGCCAATGTTCTCCAAGGTTCTTCTGATCTCATCTTAAAGGGGTGCAAGAAGAAATGCCTACAGGGGCCACAGGAGTGGGCCAGGAACAGCCTTCACAGAAGTTTGCTCATCCAAAGGCACTGACTCAAGCCAGTTCCAACAAGTTGTTGCAATTAAAAAAAAAAAAAAAATTAGACCTAATGTTTTCAGATCTTCCAAATTTTCAAGATTAAAAACTTAAAACTTTTCCATAAAATCTTCCAATATTTTCATGTCAGCAGCTCACTGAAACTTGTATGCATACAAGAGGGATAACAGTTACCCAGCAATTTTATAAATCCACTTCCTCATCAATGAAATTGCAGTAATTAAGTCACACATAAACATAAAAAGTCTAAATCAAAGAAAACATCCCTATAGGCTTTTATTATCATTTGACTCCATATCTACCAAGACTAGAGGTTACTACCCAGATTTCCAACCAAATGTACAAAACTGTCCAAGTGCATTTTCCTTTCCTTAAGAACCAGTGACCACATCAATCTATTTCTGATCTGCTTTTACCTTTTCAGCATCTATGAAGATGATGCCCACGTTCACATGTGGCCAACCTCTGGAACCCACTTACCTTCTGCACCTGCCTCTGCTACCTCCTCTCCATCTCTCTGCCACCTTAATTCTGGCCAGCTTCACTCTTTTCTCAGTAGCTGCCTCACTGTTCTAATTCCAATCATGCTCTCCTCTATGCCACTCTTTATACAACCTGAGTCCTCCAGATTGTAAATCACTTCTTTGGTCAAAGGCCTTTGGGGTTAGCTTTATAAATTTATAAGAAATCTGAACTTCTTTGTGTAACATACAAACTCCTGAAGTCCTGGCCAGGCTGACCCCTCCTCTCACCGTTTACTCCCCCACTCCCCCTACTCCAGGGCCACACAGAACCACAATTTGCAACACAGAATGCTCCTTTGTCCCTAGGCATTTATTCATACCAGCAGGTCCTACCTCCTTGAATACCTAACTCCTCCCATTCCCTTGGAAAAGAAATCTCTGCAAAGCCCTCACTTTAAGGCCTGCCCCCAGGCCAGAGGAGAAAAATAGGTTTCCTCAATACTGGCTTAGTTTTCTTCCAGAGTAGACTAAAAACTCCTCAAGGGCAGAGCTACCACAAGGAAGCTAATCTGGTAGATGAATGAACCAGCAGTGACTTCACCAGTTCCTGTCATCTCTTCAGGCAACACTCTTTAAAGTGAGCCCACCAAGGCCCCAAACAGTACTCAGGCCTTCAAGGCCATGCAGGTCACTTCAAATCTTCCAGGAGGCCAAGAATCAAACAAACCTACCTCCTCCTTTGCCAGTGGGTACATTTATCACTCCTTTACATTTGCCAACTAGAAAGAATTGGGTAGCAGAGGCTAGGCTGACTGCAAGCTGCTGGAACTGTCCATGTGTATACTGCACAATTTTTTACTGGCACAAGAATATGTACTTGGCCCAAGAAATTAACTATAATATTCTTTCTGTAGTCAAATACTTATTAGTATTATTAACATATATTGAGTCAAAACTCTAATTCACACAAGAATATAAAAAATCTTTAGAGGAAAATATTACATGAAGTTTATCCACTAGGAACTACTTTAAAGGACTGATGTGTAAATCCTCATTTTTTACAGCAACCCTATGAAGTAAACACTATATTGCCCCCTTTCATGGATGAAGAAACTGAGATAGTAATTTTAATTACCCAATTTCACACAGCTAGGATTCAAGACCAATGTGACTCTAGAGTCCAATCTTCTAACCAACACAAAACCTCACAATTACTGTTACGTTTAACAGCCTATGCTTACGTGGATGTATATACATGCATATACTCAAAGAAAACACACTTAAAATGTTAACAGTAGATGGGCTGCGGATGTAGCTCAGTGGTAAGAGCACTTGCCCACACACGTCCCTGAGTGTGATCCCAGTACTCAAAAATAACAACAACAATGGTTATCCCCTGAGTGGGATGAATAGTAATTCTCCAAACACAGAATAAGAATGTATTATTTTTAATTACAGAAAATAAGTAAACAAATAAAATAAATAGTATTTAGATGGTGCTACCAGAAAGGTAAAGTGGGCTAGGGAGATCAATCTTCCATCAGTAACTACTCTGGGGCCAAGCACATGGCTATTTCACTTACTGCTTAAGTCAAATAAATTTATTTCCATTTTCAGATAAAGAAACCAAAGACTATGTAACCTGCCAAGTGAAAGACCTGGGATCAGAACCCAAAAGCCCAGTTCAAACATGTCAGACTACAAGATGCCATGATACAATAAAATTTCCCCCAAAACCAATCTTAAAAACAAATCACAAGCTGGGCGCGGTGGCACACACCTGTAATCCCAGTGACAAGAGGATCAAAAGTTCAAAGCCAACCTCAGCAACTTAGTGAGGCCCCATCTCAAAAATAAAATGGGCTAGGGATATGGCTGAGTGGTAGTGCACTCCTGGGTTCAGTCCCTGGTACCAAAACAACAACAGATCATATTTTTTGAAGGAATAAAAACCAAGTAGTCAGGCTGGGCATATTAGCTCAGTTGGTAGAGTGCTTGCCTTGTATGCACAAGGCCCTGGGTTTGATCCCCAGCACCTCCCCCCCCCAAAAAAAAAGTAGTCTTATCACCTTAAGTGCAAGGAAAGGGAAAAAAAACCTAAAATTTTAACTTTTTTTTTTTTTTTTTAAACCAAGATTCTCAAAAGATCCAGAGCATTGTCTAAAATCAACTTTTATAGTCAGGGCCTCTGTGACAAACTCACACCTTATATAGTGGGAAGGAGACTATTTGCCAAACACAACTGTATTAGCATAAGTTAAGTGGACTTCAATGTGACTCCATTGTATTTACACAGGAGTATCTGTTCTGGAGATAATTCTAGTTTCCAAGACAGCCTCCTCTATTATCCTACCTTTTTACAAGTTACCAGGTATGGGGGTTGGGGGGGTTCATGTCTGGGAATATTGCTCTTTAGCTGTATTCAGATATAAATAGCCTTTTGTTATCTATAACCACTGGTCCAAACCTGGGTAGTGAGAGCTGCTGGCCCTGGGAGATCATCTCAGGTAAAAATGAATGGATCAGCAATTTTCTGAAATGACATTTTAAGTTTTGAGTACTCAGAACTTTTAAAATCCATCTAAACTAAAATCTTCATTCTTCTAAAAATAGCAGCAAACATAATTAGCTGGGGAAAAAAACATCTGGGATGGAATAGACAATGGGTTTATAAAATCTGAGGAAAGAAAATTTGATTACTTCATACATATAAATTAAACACCAATTTTTAAAACAAAACATTTACCAGTGAAAAGGTATATTCCCTTTGCAATTTAAAGCTAATCCAATATTTGCCCTGAAAGTCTGTATTAATTTCAAATAAAATGTAACTTTTAAAAATGTCAAACCTACCATTCCTACAGGAATAAAGTAGCCCATGAGGTGATTAGATTAGGGAATTAATATGCATTTGGGACAAGTGGGAAAAAGTACCAAAGTTTTGGTATTTGTACAAACAGTTTTTGAAAGCTTAGGAATATGAAAAAACATCAAATTGTGAGGCAACAAGAGAATTTCTTTCAAACTTTAAAAATGTTCCTTCACAGAAGGATTTTTCCCCCCACCAGTATGCTTTAAAAGTAAAGTCAAACTATAATAAACGTAATGATTTTTGGAACACATTTATATGAAAATGTCCAAGTTAATAAGAAATTTCAACTGATCAACAGAGTTAAAACAACCATTAAATCTAATTTACATTTTGGTATGAAACCTATACAGTCTTCAGTATCAAGACTTTCTTAAGCACAATGCTAAATGGTTGGTTATCTATCATTGTGGAGAATGAGTTTTACTTCAGGCAGACAAAAGGAAAAGACAGACTTGTAAGAATCACAAGGAGTCTCAGGTGCCTGACAGAAGTCAGCTCTGAGCAAGTCATGGGTTATATCCATTGCTCTCCAAATTACTTTTTACTGTTGGTAGGGCTTGAGTGGTCAGAACGTGGAATACCTCTGCTAGCAATCTCCAACCTGCTGCCAAGCAAGACACACACAAAAAACACACTGCCCCAAGCTCACAAAAAAAAAAAAAAAAGGGTGGGGGGAGGGGGGGACAAACAGAAAGGAAAAATAACGTTTCCAAACGTGCCCACATTGGGGGCTGGGGAGGAGGGTGTCAGGAACCATTAACATTTCAACATCAACTCTAAAGAACAACCAGAAGGAGGTTAAGAGTAGCCACAGGAAACTTCCTATCCCTGAAAAGTGGGAAATCTAGAATTGGAAACTTCAGTTTACTACATTCAAAAAACAAAAAATAAAAACCTCTCAGAAACTCACGACGACTAAATTGAATCCGTTTAAACAAAAAACAAAAACAAAAAATAACAACAATAAAAACTCCAGAGGGCTCTTCCACAGACCCTTCTAAGATGTGGCAGTAACAAGTTTTCCTTAAAACTTGCATTTCTCTGATTCCAGAGTGCCATGTAAGAATAGTGCATAAATCAATCAGTTATCAGAATCAATAAACTACGGATCTTAAACTGTAGGAAGACCTTGTTTCAGGAGCTGCCCTGCCCACCTCCCCCTCCTCCCCGCAGTCTTGAAAGCTTCCAAGAGTCCTGAGAACCAGGGACCCTTAGTTCTATTCCGGGGTTGGTTTACCCGACAGTGACCAAATAGGAGGGCTGCTCCTGCATCTGGGGGCTGCTCCAGAAATCCTGCCTGGTCCTGCCCCTCACGCTGCCTGTCTCGCTGCTCCCCACATTTCCCTCTGCCGCAGCTGACCAGAAAAGGGGATTTTGGACCCAAAGGAGTCCGGGACGAAGGAAAAGGGTGGTAAACCTGATAATAAACCCAGTTCGGGGGGTAAGGGCTAAATACGGAGATGGGCAGAGACTGTCCAGAAGAAACACCACCTGAATCTCCCTCCCTTCCCACCCCTAAAAAAACACGGTCACTAACTAATAACGCTAAGAAAAATCCCTTGAAAACTTTTCCAAACCGGAAGAGAAGGCCTTTCCCCCAGCCTAAGGGCTCTTGGGGAACAGGCTGGAGTTTGCAGCCCGACGGGGCTCGCTGGGAGTGGGGTGGGGCGCGGGCCAGGGGTGCAGGGGCGGAGTACCTTCAATGGACAGGAACTGGCAAAGAGTTTCAAAATAGCCGAGTGCTCTCCCCACGCCCCCGGGGGTCCCGGGCGGTAGGTCCAGGGCTCCCCGAAGAGAGGGCAGACCCCAATTCGGGCCTAAAAGGAAACTTTCCGGGCCGCGGCTGCACCTGACTTCTCACCGCCCCTCCACCCCACCCCACGCCCGCCAGGCCGCCCGCCCCGCCCCGGCCTGCCGCCCGGAGCGCGAAGGAGGGGGATAAATAAATTCAACTGTTACCGGAATCCGGGGGGCGTCTGTGAGACACCCAGGGGGAAGGGGGGCCGGCGCCCATTCTCCACTCCTAGGCCTTGACGCCCCTG